ATTTTAAAGTGATTTAATAGTTCCTTATATCAAACAAGTTTCATAACATTTCATTCAAATTCCTAGAATCGTAAATTATATAAATCAATCTTTACTACTGCTCCATTATTATATTTGTGAGATAAGATAAAACCAAATGCAACAAATTGAGTGTCCATTTAAAGTTTAATTCCTACATGAAAATTAAATGCCATTTAGAGAAAATGACTTTCTAGTTTTTACATGTAGGCTGTGATAGAAACTCAAATATTTATCTTTTGTTATATTTATTATGATTGCTCTTTCTTCATTACATTTAAAAACTACACTTTTAACCTGAACCCAACTCTCACTGGAACTCAGTAAATTTGAGACATTTCATTAGTCTATTTTATGCCAGATCATCACTACAGCTGAACATATAAATGTATGGTACAACAGACCTATAGCCCTAAAACATTCCAGCTTATTCCCAAATTTCTCAGGCAAAGAAGTAACAGTTTCAGAGTACAAACATGTACTTTCCAGAGTGAAATGGTTAAATATTGCAGTCAATTCAAAAATAGCACTAACTGGCTCCTTTCCTTTTCTCTCTCTTTTTTAAAAGCAGAACCAGGTTTAATTCTTTTCTGCAGTCACATGCTCACAAATATACTTCCCTTGAGCTGTCAGAAAGCATCAGATTGCCTGATCTGCATGACGAATTTTAAAATCTTTTCAGAAACACAAGGACATTTGCTTCGGGCATTATGGTTTCATCACCACCATCATAAACAAGTATAAAACCAACCAATCACTGATATTCAAACCAAAGCCAAATGGTGCTTTGAAAATGGTTAGTAGAATTGCAATCATCTAAATTCCCTTGGATCCATTTTTCAAGTCATGATATCTACAGCCGAGCATTCATTTATTTATTGCCATCACGACTCCTAGTTGACCCCAAAATAAAAATGTGATTCTTATAGAGAGGTTTATAAAATGCAAATACTGTTAGAAATATTTGTGAACAAATTACACTGTCAGATGAAAATATTCTAGTGACTAAAGTAACAATGGTATCTTTAATATTTAATAGCCACTTTAATTCTTGTGCTGTTTATGAAATACAGTTACAATATCAATTCCACCTATGAACATCCTGAGTAAATAATAGATGTGGGAAATTGGAAGATTTTCTATGATGTATTTCAGATCTCGTAATAATAGAGCCTTATCCCTTGAATGATGTGCAGAACAGTATCATTAACACCACCAAGAATACTTTTATATTTAGTTTTTATGAAGCTAACTGAGAGCTAAATCCACAAGCGATAAATGTTTTTCTAGATTCACTATGATATTGATATATAAAATCTTATTTGAAATTTGATCCAATTATGCTTTTAAGTTTAAAGCCAAACTTAAGTTTTCCAAGGTTTAAAACAAATAAGCAAATACAAAAGCCAATTCTGTACCTAGTCAGCAAATGGAATATAATTACTCCATTCAATCAGAAGCTGTGACTAAGTGACTCTAATCGAAATGCAAGGTAAGTGGGTTTCTGAGGTCTTGAATTATTGAACAAGTAAAGTAGGGTCCTGGAGTTCAGAGAATGGAAAGATATCATTATCTTTTTTTCCGGGGAGTCCAGGCTGCCCATTCACCTCTCTGGCAAAAGTGGAATGTACAAAAGGTTTTACTTTTAAAGTAAATTAAATAACCTCCTATTTGTTAGCTGCTATTAAAGATTCACGCTGCATACTTCATCTCACCTTCTCTTCACTGTAATATTTTCACATTATCGCAAGTAGCATTATGTCACTAAGACAAACCAATTTCCTTTATGTAAATGTAAAACAACATGTTTGCTGTAAGATATCTCCATCAATGTCAGTGACATACAAGGAAAGTCTTAACAGTCTGCCCTGTCTCTTAAGGAAAGGGAAAAGCAAATTGTTTATTCACACTCAATTTCTCTGTCCACTGTTTCTTTAGCTCATTGAATTTATTCATAAACTTATCACTGGCACTCTATTACATCCAAGAGATATCAGCACATTCACCAGAAACCAACTAAAAAAAAAAAGGCAAAAAAAGATAAGATGTCAATTCCCTTTTCCAAAAGACAGACTCATCATTCTATTTCTAAGAGGTGCTGGCACAAAGATACAGGCATGTCTTTTGCTTGATGACTAGGGTCCTACACTGAGTAGTCAGTGGTGTAATAGCCCCATCAGAGAAAATAGGGATCTATAATCAAGTCCTCTGCCGCTAGCTCACGCTTGGATTCTTGTCAAGTTACTCTCTCTGGACCTCTGTCTCCACATTTGTAAAATAAGAGAGTCAGCCTAGATTTTGTCAAAGGCCCTGCTAGTTCTAACATTCTTTGATTTCAAAATGAGGGTTGATGCTTTACTATTGTTTGTCTTACTTTGTTAGACACAGAGCATTGGATCCTCTCAAAAAATATAACTAAATGGATTTTCATTCTCAACTTGTCCAACTTTATAAAATAATTAATAAGGTTTTATATTGGAGATCAGGCCACAGTAACAGGAACCCCCCATCGATCACATTTTTCATCTACCCTTCCTACTCTTCCTCCCTACTGTTTATCGCAAATCATGGTTCAGATCACACATTAAATTACAAGTTGTTCAATAATGCCCATCTCCATTTCCTTACAGAGAAGTATCAGAAAATGGTTTTCTCAAAACCCTGAAAATTCACAGTGTACATTAACAACAGTCATGGAAAGAGCTAATCAAACTTCTCAGCTGTTTTCTTTGCTAGCCTGACTTTTCCTCTGTGCACAGTAGGTGTCTCCTCCTCCCGACTCTGATAATGGTGATAAACCAAAAAAGTTATGACCAGATATCAAATAGCTTATTTTATCAAAATAAAACCTCTCTTCACTCCAACTTTTGCACTTCCAGGAAACTGTTCAGGCGCTTATTACAAGCACCTGACCTATACTTTTTTAAACCACCACTTTCATCTGCAAAGAATCTTGAGCCACAATTGTAAGACCTGATGGTGTTTAAATGAACATTACAGCTACTTTGTGAACTCACAGCTATAGAAATCAATAGGCATCTTGCATAGAGAAGTCTTGCAATTGATTTTTCCAGGAGAGTCAATTTGTAACTTTAGGAGAGGCATAGACTTGCCAGAGGTTAAAAAAAAAAAAAAATCATAGGTATGTGGAAAATGCTGCGCTGCATTAGATGAGGTGGTGTCTCAAAGAAGTAGGGTCTAGAACAATAATGTTTTTCAAAAGTGGCTAAAAGGAAATACTTGAAAAATACTAGACAGCTCCTGCAATGTTCCTGGGCTTGGAGAAGGGAGCTTTTCAAGGTACACAGAAAATGCATTTAATGGAGTGTTCCATATGATCTTGATTTAAATGTATACTGTTGCTTTTCTAAGGATAAAAACAGCCAGTGGACTTGTTCTCTCCAGTTTTTAAAAATTGTCTGAAAGTATAGAAATAATCACCACCGCTACCATAAATAAAAGTAACTGTGAGGTGATGAATGTGGTAATTATTTCATAATGCATGTGTATATCAAAACATCATGTTGAACACCTTAAATATGTATAACTTTTATTTGTCAATAAAAGTGTAAACAAAGAGAACTGCCTAAAATTAATTTATTCACTCGATAAAGAAGTCTAGGCATCATTCAATGCTCAGTGCTCTTCTAAGCACCCGGGTGACAGCAAGGTGTGTGCCCCCTGCAAGGCTAGTCACTTAGAGGAAGGAGCCAAAAGGCTACAGACACATCTCAAACAAAACTTACGCCCTCCCGCAAACATCACTGACTGAAAATAGCCTTTTTATGTAGCTAGAGAATCTTGTTCTCAAAACAGCTATTATTTTCTCCCTTCTCTCAAGTGTTCCTTTATCTCCTTATTTTTTATACTTTCTACAAGTTCATAAAAAATAAGTTCTACATTAGTCAAAAGATAAATAATACAAATTACACCTGTTTGTATTCTTAATCTGTCTAGGAGCGATGAGGGAGAGCCCATGAATGCTGGGCGATCTTTTGAATCTACTGGGGGGAAGAAGAGGGTTGAAAATGGGGATGAATAGAGACACACTGTATAAACTTTAGTGTCAATTTTAAAAGTTTGCTTTGATGAGTTAAAAAACCCCAAACACAAATGCACCAGAAAAATAATGCTAAGAAAAAACAACTATGACGCGGGGGCTGGGGAAAAAACACAGCTTCAAAAGGAAGTTTATAGCCATCATCCTATGCGGGCGATGTTATGGGGCTTTCATTAACCTTGTTTAGTTTTGCTTTGCATGATGTTAACTCTTCTAAAGTTGATTTGGAGACCCCCCTTCCCTTAATGACTGGGGATGAATGGATACAGAGATGTTGGAAAAGATTCGCCTTTTTCAAAATCTTCATATGTAGGATACAGTTTGAAATGGCTAGAATTTTAAGTCAGAACATTTCACATTAAGCTAAATTATGTTCACATTAACTGCTTAGGAGAAGTATACACACATAGAAAGCTGCACGTACTGTAGAGCATCAGCCTGGCCTTGAGTCTGAGGTTCACCAGTATCCAAACATCTATAGAATCTCAGGGATTTCAAGGCTTTAATTTCAGTGCAGCATTTTTTAAAAAACCACACAAAACACACAAATATCTCTTGTGCTCAGTACTGCAAGAATTCCACAGCTCATTAACCAGTATTAGAAGTTCAAAAGATCTCAATTGATTAGGTTTCCAAAAGATGGATCTATTTCAGGAAGCTGAAGACACATATGAAATCATTTTCTATTGCTATCTGGTTACCTTCGATTAAACTCATTTCTGCCTCTCATACTCACTCCACAGAGATGAACAGAAGTATAGTACTGAGAATTAACCAAGATGACATCATGTTTTGCAAATAAGTTTGGTATGATGAAAAACTTTGGAGCACATAAGAGTCAGTGGATAAATACAGAAACTTCAAGAATCGACCATACACTACAGTTTAGAGTACAACCTGAAATACAGCTTCAGATACTCACCGGTGAAATGATTAGAAGTGGATGGATTGACACTATCAACACTGTCAGCACTGTCACAGCGAAAAACTTCATCATCTGATTCCTGCACAGAGGAACAGGGCGAGGAGCTGTCAATTTCTTCACACTTCCCCCTTAAAATTCCACTCATAACTGCAGCGCTGTCACATGTACCTGTAACAGGAACAGGACATCAGGGCATGGAGATATCTGACCACTGATTCACAATCAAGGTTTCCAAATTGTTTGGCGGGGCTGTGATTATTTTTTATTGAACTTGTTGAGGTAACATTGGTTAATAAATTATATAGGTTTCAAGTGTGCAGTTCTACAATAGGTCATTTGTATATTATATTGTGTCTTTACCACCCCAAGTCAAGTCTCCTTCCATCACCATTTATCTCCCCTTGACCTTCTTCCCCCTGACAATCACCACACTATTGTCTGGCCCATGAGTTTTTCTTTTGGGGTTGTGATTTTTTGAACTACATCTACCACATTATCACATCCATGTGGAAATGATCCTTTCCATAATGTTCGAAAGTATTGAAAACAACTCTACCCTGATTGTTATCTGTATCCTCATCTGACAACAATATTTTATGAGAAAAAGTCAAAATTAGAAATGCGGAATCAGAGAGCTACATAAGGAAATATGTTTCAGTGCTTTCAAACGTCAAAACAGGAGTCAAATACATTTATTTGATTTGTTCTCGTAAACTGTGTACTGTCTTTGACGGAGCCAGAGTTCAGAACAAAACAGATCACTCACTTGCATGCTCTCATACCCACAGCATACTGATTAGGGCATGTCTATCTTGCTTGGAATTTCTTTTTTCTCAGGTACAAAGGCATCTACTTTTCTGGGCCTCTTTGTCCATCAAAAATCAAATTGGTTGTTAGGAATGGCTATACCTGCAGAATTTAGATGCCTTATCACGTTTCCAGCAGAGCTACAGGGAATACTTGAGTCCTATGCCAAGGAGGCTGGCTCAATACATTTTATATAGGATAAATCCTAGTCCCTAAATCTTTTACTGGGTAAAATATTCATTTAAGTCTCTTCACTCTCTGTATCAACGCAGTCAGTGAAAGCCAGTCAGAGGTAGCCTGATGTATTTAAAAAAAAATTGTTAATGTCAATTTAGATGAGTCATTAAACCCCTGAGAGTAATAATTTCTTCATAGCTACAGAGTAATTGTTAAGGTGATCAGAAGTTACAAACACAAATTCCTACAAATGCAGGTAACTTCAATGAGTACAGAGGATCAGATGTAATAAAACCATGCAGTCATCTTAGTTTTCTCTTTCATATACTGTTATTTGTAACAAAGGTCTAAAGAACTACTTCTCTACCCTAAGGGAAATGATAGCACAGGCACAATAAAGAACGGCCTCACAACCAAGGAGACGGTTGTAGTAGTGTGAACCGTAGTGAACAAGAGATGACGCCTAGACCAAAGGGAGAACCTGCTACTCAAATCCAGGTTATTTCAGCTCCGTGCTTTCCCAATTTAATCTACTCTAAAATCTGACCAATGGCCCATTCACACTGAAAAACAGTCTTGCCCGGCCGGGCGTGGCTCAGCGGTTGAGCATCGACCTGGGATCCAGGCGATCGGGGTTCGATTCCCGGTCAGGGCACATGCACAGGTTGTGGGCTTGATCAATGACTCTCTCATCGTTGATGTTTCTATCTCTCTCTCCCCCTCCTTTCCTCTCTCTAAAATCAATAAAGATATATTTAAAAAGAAAAAAAAAGTCTTTACATCATTAGGTTGCGCATTCACCATCTTCCTTTCCCTTATTAATTCTGTTTATAAAATTAAAGGAGCAATTTTTAGATTACATTATATATTTTTCTTTTTTATTGAATTCATTGGGGTGACACTGGTTAATAGTTATATAGGTTTCAGGCATACAGTTCTATAATACATCATCTGTATATTATATTGTGTGTTCACCACCCAAGTCAAGTCTCCTTTTATCACCATTTATACTTCCTATTCCCTCTTCTACCGCCCCCACCTCCCTTTCCCTCTGGTAATCACTGTTCTGTCTGTATCAATGAAGTTTTTTTTTTCTTTTCTTTTTTTAAATATGTTTTTATTGATTTCAGAGAGAGGAAGGGAGAGGGAAAGAGAGATAGAAACACCAATGAGGAGAAACATCAATGATTGATCGGCTGCCTCCTGCACAAGAGATCGAGCCTGCAACCTGGGCATGTGCTCTGACTGGGAATCGAACCATGATCTCCTGGTTCATGGGTCGACACTCGACCACTCAGCCACGCTGTCCGGGCTGTGTTGTTTTTTTCTTAATCCCTTCACCTTTTCCACCCAGCCCCGCCACACCCCTCCCCTCTGACAGCTGTGAGTCTGTTCTATATAAAGCCCAACTTGGACTGGCTCTACAACATAGACAAAGAATGGTTCAGATCTGTGACTTGGAAGGGGCAACAGACTAAGGTTCTAAAACATTCTTTTAGCCCAGTACAACACCTGGAACTCCTCTGCCAGAGATACATCAGCTTGGGGGGCAAACTTATTTTACAAAAGATACCCGCACAATATATGCTATCAAGGACAGGTGACAACTTAAGCCATCAAATTTCATGGCAGTCCTATCTATGTCTTTCTGGTGACTTACTTTAAAAAGTAGCAGCAACCTTGGGAGCGGCCACTGTTTTTATGCCCCTCACTGACCTCATCATCTCCTTCAATAGGAAGGAGCTACGTTTCCTTGGGACATATTTGTTCCAGGTCCTTCTGCTGCCTGGCTTCCTCTGCTTCTGTACTTTCTGCTTTCTCATACCCCCAACTGGCATATGGCTTTGGCCTCTGACAGACTTGCTTCTACCTCAATGTATCCTGAAAGTCTCAACTCTGAACACCAACTGACTGGTTCTTTCAGTCTATCTCAGTTCAGATTGCTGAACAAAGGAATCCAAATACTGGCATAATCCAAACACTATGCCATTCAATAGAAAAAAAGATTTGTTTATCTCCTGCCCTTTGTTTAGGAGCCATTTATTATTTATTCAGTAAACATCTATTGAGCTTTCATCATGTACCAGTGACTATTTTGGATGTTGGAGAATAAAGTAACAACACAGAAAACCCCCCCCAAAAAACCTTTCTCTAATGGCGCTCACATACTGGGTATTGGGTGAAGGGGTAAACAAATAATAAATAGGTAAGTAAATTAAACACATAACATGCCATATGTAGATCAATGCCGTGGAGAAAAATAAGTAATTAAGTGGTATAGTGAGTACAATTTTGGCTGATAAAGAACATTCCACTTTTAATTAATTAATGAGCTAACGTCGCAGTGAGAAAGTAGCATAAAGGCATGGAGAGGGTGAGGGAGCTGGCAATTTTGACATCTGGGAGAAGAGCCGTCCTGGCCAAAGCAATGGTGTGTGCCAAGGCCCTGGGCTGGGCACAGTAGGCAATGAGGCTAGACAGGTATTGGGGGCTGTATTGTGAAAAGCTTATGAGGGCTTTGGCTATTACTCTAGGTGAGATGGAGGCCACGATAGGGCTTAAGTAGCAGAGTTACAGACCTGGTTTATATTGTAAAAGGACCACTCATTAGCCTGTCATTTCATAAGAAAACAGAGGGCCTATGGTAAAGGGAAAGGTAGACTTGACAGAAGAAGGAAAAGATTCAGAATTAAGAAAGATACTTAGAACTTAGTGACTTAGATGAGCAGTTAAAGTCAGAAAACCTGATGAGTCAGAGGCTGGAGAGGTCACTCGTTTCTTTTGAGGGGAAAGAAGTTAGAAGGGGAGGGAAGGTCAAAGTGCTTCCCAAAGCAATGTGGTTACTTACTTTTACATAGAACCACCTCTTTCCCCAGACTTGTCCATTATTTTATGATGGTGAAGGTCACCTTACAAGCTAGGCTTCAAATAGGACCAGTTCAGATATATTGTACCTCTCTGTGATGCTGGTTTGGCAAATAAAATTAACAATGAAAAAGTAAGTTTTCCTTTATCACATTAAAAGAATAGTTTTTAAATTTGGTAGATAAGAAGGAATATATGGATGGAGACGACTATCAAGGACTTATTTGTGGGAAAATGGAGGCAAAGAGTTAATAACTATTTTACCCACCATCCCCTTAAAGTTTCTTATTCAAGGTTTTTAATAAGTCAAAGACACAACCACTACCTGCTAACTGCTGGGATTACAGGACCCTGGCTCTGGGTTGACCCTGTTTGAAAGCCAGATAGTTTCCTACTTAAAAAAGTCACTTGGTGACCTAGTGTGACCATTATTTGGTTGAAAAGACTCTTATTTTTAACTGACTTAAGAACATTTTAGAAGAACTGCTTATAAAGACAGAGCTATTGATAGATTTTTTAAAATGTTGATATACCTTAAGTTTATTAGTTATAGGAAACTATTCAGAACATTTTTCTTAACTGTTATGAAATCCATGTAAATACTTTGTGTGTGAATTTGCTCTCATTTATGCTTTTAGTCTCTGGTGGCCTTGAAGAATCTTGCACTAAGTCATTAGAGAGAGATTGAACTGTATAATTAGATATCTGAGTAAACACAAAGACAGGGTAGAAAAAAAAATCCCAAAGCATAACAGACACTTGTGGGAAGAGAGAGACTCATCCTCCTTTGTGTTTGCCAATCTGATTCCACTCTACTATACTCCGGTTGTAGTACTAAAATTGTGATGTTACAATTATTTCCATGGCAACAGACAGTGAGATCATGCAGGAGAAGTGAAATTGAGAGAGATTAAGAGGCTACCCCTATTCAGATGTTTGCAGTGATAGGTGGGAAGAGCGACCAAGGGAGAAAACAGTTACTACAAATGTCCTTGATCGAGACTGTCCCATCCATGTATCAAGTGAAATCAATCCTAAGCATTATTAAGAGTCACCCTATAACACAGATTGTTGTTTTGAGAGTACATGGCTGGAAGAAATTGTTAGCAAACAGAGGAAAATACATATGACTTATTTACATTTTCTGGCATCTAAGACTGCAATATCTGTTGTGCATTTGTTAGAAATCAATGTTTTAGAATTCTATTTCAGGATGCCTTAACAGGGTTCTGTGTTTTCCAGGTCCTCCCCTCACCCTCAAAGTAGTGGGTTCTTAGATTTTCTTAATCTAATGAGAATGCTGTATTATTACTAATCCT